CACTATGGGTCGAAAGGGTTATCAACGTACGGCTCACGATTTGGTACACATTCAAACTATCTTTACTTGGACGTGTCAGTAACGATTTTCTTATTTATCTTCATTCATTTTAGTTTATATCAAGTTTTTTTGCATATGTCCAATACTAGTGTATCTAATTACTTGATTTGTGCTGGAGAAAAAAAGGTTTCCAGACACGAAAGGGTTGAGAACTAAAGTCTAGACTCATGGACATCTGAGAAGGGATGGAAAACCTATAAATGAAGCTGTTGCCGACACTCTGGTATGTGTGTTATATCTGGATTCTGTCAATAATAATTAAACTTATTATGTGTATCACTTGCTAATACAAAATTAATTTGCATAAGTGCAGAAAAAGATAGAAGATTGTGCTCAATCTATTTCCGATACACCAGCCGAAGATGCAATTCGAGATGATGCTGTTGCTCGAGTTCTAGGTCTTGAATGTCATGGAAGAGTAAGGGGACTTGGATTTGGAGTTATACCATCAAAGGTCGATGGACAAATTCAAAGTAATTCTCGAGTGAGAGAACTTGAAAGCCAACTACAAATGCAATCAAAAAGGGTTCGAGCACTAGAAGAAAAAGTTGAAGCACTCCTCAAGTTATCTCAGGTTATGTACTTTATCATTTTATATAAAATGATAACATAGCTTTACATAACTACGTATAATAACTTTTTATTTTTTTTATTATTTTACAGAGTCCAAATAAGAATGTAGATGACATGACTTCACGTGCTTTTACTCCTCAGGTTATGTATCTTATATTATTTATTGTTTGTTCAATATAAATTCAGACTATATGGCGTACTAATTTTAAAAAGAATATTTTCATTTTATTGTGAATTTGTAGTCCCAACAAGGAAGTGGTATCCAGGGAGGGACTACACATTTGGAAAATTCAAGGTGTCAATTATTGCATTGGTACCAATATGATGAGGAAGAAATCGTAGTAGAAGGGAAGATTGCATCAACAGACCCAAACGCAAAGGTACACCACATGCCACTTGGACGAGATTGTTGGAAGTTTTGGGTTGAGGAAGTGTATATGGGTCATTTGACCTAATATAGACCTACTGATGAATTTCGAGATCTTAGTGAAGCCATGGGAAGTACTGTTGCTTGGCCAAAGAGTAGTGTTAGACTCATTTGACGAAGGTATTTCTCGAATCTTTGCTTATTCAACTGAGCAAAGACTTTTAATGTTGTGTGATAAGCTTATTCTGAACATGATTGACACATTGTTAATGTTGTGTGAGTTTCCTAGCATTTTATTAATTAATGTACCTAATCTATATTCTTTCTTTATTGCAATTATATGGAGCTAAGAGAAGAATTTGAAGTTGAGTTCTCTTATGCATGTGCCTTCTTGGACTTTATTTATGTAAGTAGCTTGATTCGGGATGCCTTATGGACAATGCTTTTGCTGGAATATTGTAATTCCTGTAGTTGACTCATTGTGTGTATTCTTGACATATTTGTTTTTGTTGGTTTTTGGGCCCTTTTTTTTTATGTATTGGAGTCTTTATTATGTTTTGAAGAAGTAATTGTACATGTTTTATGTTTATTGTGTATGGATAAAATATTGGTGGTATTGGTGGTTTTTGAGATTTTTGGTTTAAATGTTTTGATGAGATTTTTATTGATTTTCAAGTTGGTTTAGTCCATATTTCAGAGGAAACTCTGTCAAAATTTTTATAAAAGTATATCACAGTAAAGTCAGGGTTGTCTTGATGGTGGGTACGACATTTAGCTAGTATCTACCATTGGCACACGACACGTGTCGGGTCTTTTAGGGTGATTTGGGACGGGTCATGTCAATTGGTATCACTACTATTAGGGAAGTCTAAACATGCGCAAAAAAGGGAAAAAAGAATTAAAGAAACGACAATGTGCTGCGAATGTTGCGAAAAACCTTAAGCAACGCGCAAAGCACGTTACGAAAAACCTTAAGGCAACGCGTGACGTACGTTGCGAAAAGCATTAAGGCAACGCGCAAAGCACGTTGCGAAAAACCTTAAGGCAATGCACAATGCACGTTGCGAAAAACCTTAAAGCAACGTACAATGCATGTTGCGAAAAACCTTAAGGCAATGCACAACGCATGTTGCAAAAAACCTTAAGACAACGTGCAATGTACGTTACGAAAAACCTAAGACAACGCGCAATGCACGTTGCAAAAACCTTCCGCTCCATGACAACACCAAAGCCCGCAACATACGCCTGAACGCTGCAAAAGGTCAATGGCAACTTTTTTCGACCGTTGCAAATAGCAATTTTTGGTGTAGTGATCCTTTATGAATAGAGATATGAGTTTAGGATTTAGACCATATAGCAAAATCCAGTATATTGGTATAATGAGTAGAAATGCCTACACTAGTTATTGTAGTCATAATTGAATTCCTAGAACAAAGAACTTGTTTAACTAAGTTGAATTTACATAGAGATATGAAATTTAATTAGTTGAATAAGTTCAATGAGAACTCAAGAGGGGTAAATTAAATACAGTAGGTGAATTCGACCGAACATTACATTAGAACTGAGTCTTAATTTGATATATAAAGGTAATCAATAGGCAAAGTTATTCTGCCCTAATGTCCTCTAATTGTTTGATCTTACAAACAATTGTGGGAGCATTTATTTATTGTCTAGAATTAAGATTTAATCTCGAATCACTATAACTTTTAATTTATCTTCATCAAATAGTAGTTAAAGAAAAATTGAATTAAGTGCTAGAAAATAGTCTTTGTGGGATCGATAATCTGGACTCTTAGGTCCACTATTACTTGTTAAGGTACTCTTGCGAAACTAAAATTGACAACAATTTTGCATATGAAAATGTAAGGCTATGTTTTAATAAATGATGAGTAGATCACGTAAATTCATGAACTCGTTTAATCATTAAAAGTCATTATCTTTCATGCAGTCTTATAAATGTGAAAAAAATTATATATAAATCTATTCTCACTTAAAAACTATAAAGAATAGTTCTTAAATACACGCAAATTCATAATAAATTGATAAAAAGCATACTAAATAATATGTTGAAAATAATCATATTAAGTTCATAATAAATTGAAGATAATAGGCTTGCACGCTTATGATTGTTATAAATTCATACTAAATTTGTTCAAATTAACAAAAAGTCAGACACTTAATTTTCAAACTTGACAAATAAACTGAACAAATTTATCAGTAAATCATGTTTAAATAGAGTATAAATTCATTTACGGTGAAGAAAAGAAAATTATTGAATCAGTGAAAGAAAGAAATTCAAGCAAAAATCTTGAGATCACGAAATTTGGAATCCACCAAAAACTTGACAAATGAACTTCACGAATTTTATTAATGAATAATAATAATAATAATAATAATAAAGAACTAACCCCTTATTCATAAAGATTTACATGGAAACGTTGTTTTAAACAACTAGGAGTATTGAAAACAAAGTTTAAACAAACTAGAATAGCAAAAAACCCAAAATAAACGAATTGACAAAAATAACGCCAAAACTTTAAAAATCAATTTTCGAGGCTTAAACGAACTCGAATGGTCGAAATTCGTGATACATCATAATGTAGCAGTGTGTATTGTTCCCCTCGTCGTTCTCATTCCAAAATAGTCTTATAGGACCGATCCAAAATTAAGATGATGTTTTACTTCTACTAGTATTCTTTTTTCAATATACCCATTATGTCTTACATTAGTCCCTTCCATCTTCGAAGAACTCGATCCTAAGTTATAAACTGGATACAAAGGCTTATCATCTTTATGAAACTCATACAAATCTACCACATTAAACGTACGAGAAATACCCATAGAAGCTGGAAAATCAATAACGTAAGCATTGTTGTTAATCCGTTTAAGCACTTTGAAAGGCCCATTCTTTCTTGGTTTCAGTTTATTGTAAGTACCAACAGGAAATCTCTTGTTTCACAAAAACACCATTATCGAGTCCCCTTCTTGAAATTCTTTATCCCGTTGATGTGAATCTGCTGCTGCCTTATACTTTGCATTAGTTTTCTCTAATTTATATTTTACCTCATCATGAACTGCTGATATTTCCTCGGCCAGATGTTCAGCAGCAACACTTTTATTATCACCTTTAGACAATTTCACCAAATCCACCACACAGTAAGGCACCTCTGTATACAGCAATGGAAACCTGCTTGTAGCAGCATGAACTGTGTTGTTGTATGCAAACTCCACTTGAGGTAGTGCAAAGTCTAACTGTTTAGGCTTATCTCCACAAACACTTCAAACCATGTTTCCAAGGGTATGGTTAGTAACTTCTTTCTGTCCATTAGTTTGGGGACTCAACAGTGCTTCTTCAATTCAATTTGGTTCCAAAAAACTTCCACAAAGTAATCCAAAAGTGCCCTGAAAATTTTGTATCCCGGTCTGATGTGATAGACTTGAGAACTCCATGCAATCTAACAGTCTCCTTGAAAAATATTTTGGCAATATGTGATGCATCTGAAGTCTTCCGAAAAGCTATGAAGTGCACAATTTTGGAGAATCTGTCAACCACCACAAAAATAGAATCTACGCTTCGTTGAGTACGAGGTAATCCCAAAACAAAATCCATAGTCAGATCTCGCCATATGCCCTGAGGGACAGAAAGTGGCATGTACAACCCAGTATTCTGCACTTGACCCTATGACACCTGGCTAGTATAACAATTTTTTACTATAATTCCAACATTCTGCTTCAACTGTGGCCAATAATACCGAGCTTCCAAACTGGTTATTATCTTGTCACGCCCCAAGTGTCCACTTAGACCTCCACCATACAGATCTTGAATCAATTTGTCACGTAGAGATTAAACAAGCATACAAAGTTGGTTGCCTTTGAACAAATATCCATCGCTAATATAAAAGCCCACCATTGATTCCCGATTCACGCACTTGCTCCAAATCTCTTTAAAGTCAGGATCATATGCATACGGTTATTTCAAACACTCAAACCCAACAATTTCCTATGATAATGTGATTAATAAGGAAGCTCTCCAACTCAATGCATTTGCAACTCTATTTGTACTTCCAGATTTACGTTTAATCACAAAAGGAAATTTCTGGAGGAAAGTCACCCACTGAGCATGTATCCTGCTAATGTGTTTTTTACTATGAATGAATTTCAAGGCTTGGTGATCGGTGAACAGCACAAACTCATTCTGTACCAGGTAGTGCTCCCATTGCTTCAAAACCCTCACAACTGCATAGAATTCTTACTTATAGGTACTTTACTTCTGCCTGACATCACTTAACTTTTCTAAAAAGAAAGCCATCGATCTTTTCTCTTGAAAAAGGACAGTCCTAATACCAATACCACTAGCATCGCACTCCACCTCAAAAATCTTCTCGAAGCTTGGCAAAGCTAATACTGGAGCTGTGCACAACTTTTCTTTGATGAAGGCGAAGCTCTTATCTTGTTCCTCTCCCCAGCTAAACTTTCTTTTCTTCAAACATTCTGTGAGAGGTGCCACAATAGTTCTGAAATGCCCGATGAATCGTATGTAGAAAGTTACCAAACCATGAAAACTCCTCACTTCAGAAACTGACTTTGGTGTTGGCCAATCTCGAATTACTTTTGTCTTCTCTTCATCTACATGCAGACCATCTTCACCTACCACAAAGCCTAAAAACAATAGTTTAGATGTATAGAATGTGAACTTCTTCAAATTGATGTACAACTGATTTTCCTTCAGAACCTCCGGGACTTGCCTCAAGTGAACTAGGTGATCCTCCTTACAGTTGTTGTAAATAAGGATATCATCAAAGTACACCACAACAAAAGACCCGATAAAAAGGATAGAGAATCTGGTTCATCATCCTCATGAAAGTATTTGGAGTATTTGAAAGTCCAAATGGCATCACTAACCATTTGTAAAGTCCATCCTTACTCTTGAAGGCAGTCTTCCATTAATCCCCAAGTTTAATACGGATCTGGTGATAACCAATGTGAAGATCTATTTTTGAGAAGACCTTAGAACCACCAAGCATATCTAACATATCCTCCAATCCTGGAATGGAAAACCCATACT